CAAAACGACGACATCCCGATAATACAACCGTAATCAAATCAAATTACAAATTAAATGGCGGCCGTGACGTCACGCGCCATATGCCACTGTTTGCCTTTGATACGATCACACAAATGTCTGTATTAGAAGCAACAATGTTAATCAATACTTAAAACCTTTTTTGTAGTATTTACCCGCACTTTAAGAAAAAATATGAAAGATTAGAAGAGACAATAAATATATTTTTGAAGCAGATAACAATCTTCAAATAGATAAAAATAATATCGTAGAAAAACCTAAGCATTGATGTAAATGAAACGTAATAAAGGCGCTTTTAATCCAAAGCAGGTTAAAAATAAACCTTAAGAAATATAACATTTCCAAATTAATCCTAACTAAAGACGATAACTTAGATGAATTTGTACCAAAAATGGATTGGATTTTATTAGCAAGGCCTTCAAACGATGAAATTGAAATAAGTCATGAACAAAGTTAGCTATAATAGGCTCCATTGAGAAAATCAAAGCTGTATGAGTGGCGTTTAGAGGTAAGTGGTTTTACATACAGGCTTTGATCTGTATGGAAAAATCTATGGCGTATTTGGAACTCCCCTCTGTGTGTAAGGGCTCTTGAGGTTTAGTGTCCAGTCGCTTTGGAACCACTGGACCGATTGTAAAGGTGTAAACTTCAAAGGCTTGTTGTTTTTCTATAGCAATTACGGTGTATGTTCATGCTAATTTTTGATTGGGTACCGTGAAATGCTTGGATGAATATGAATTTGTGGGATGACTTTTTGGTGAATTGATTGTTGGTACATATTTTTGGTTCTTTGGGATATCAAGATTATGACACATTCTGACTATGCTATTTTTACCTGGGAACAAAAAAGTATTTAGATTATCTGTACATGAAGCATTTCTTACGCTATTGAGTGAATTAACTACCTACGTATCAATGTTGATAAATCTCAGACAATGATAAATAACAATTAACCTACGACCAAATTACATTTATCACACTGGTCCACCAGTCATATGTTTCATAATATGACACCAAACATCGACCTTTAGAGAAACTTCTCCACAATATCTACAATTTACTTGCTTACGAAGGTCAGAAAGTCATCAACATACGCACCGAACAATTTTCTCTATCATTCACATGATGCTTCCTAATGTCCTGCTCCATTCAGGGCGACCCTCAATTCCTTAAGTCCATAACAATCGGTTACTAAATGCACAATGGCACCCACGTTCCTTGTTATAACCTGTCGAACAAGTAACTTTGGATTTTTTCCAAACCTGCTCAAACCCTGTCGCATGATCTACCTGTCCCTCTTCATTTAAATCATTTAGAGAAGGACAGTAGATATAACTCGTTTCCTAATCTTTGCCGCGGGCAGTTTGGTTAGGATCTGACACGGTCCGACGCCTGTATTTAAGGGGGTGACCAGACATTGATAAATATGATAAGCACCCTTTTAAGTATAACGTTGTTTTCTTAATAAACTTGATTTCAGTTTGTGTAGGTATTATTAGAAGTCAAAGTTTGCTTAGTGACGGTAACAAAAGACATTGTTACGCCAAAATGTATAAAGAATACGGCATCTCCGGGTTTGATTCATACCGGATGATTTTTAAGAAAATATTCCCACCATACGGCAGTTGTGTCATCCAAAATAAGATTTAATGAGAATGAGAATCACAACCGGTCTTTGCAAAATATCATTGTCTCCTTGAACCTTGACCAGATTTTGGCATACTGGACATATGAGACAACTCTAAATACGCATCAACGCCACCACATCATCTTTCTGCACCACCTAATGGTTAGAAAGGACTGTAAAAAACTGAACTAACAGGCCAGAGTATAGGTAAATGGCAGTCAATTACGTGTCACAAGAATTCACTAACACCTGATCTACTAAACACCAACACGATAATAACAAAGCAGATTACAATATCGTTTTACAATAACAAAAAACGTAAGGTGTAACACATTGTAAGCAATGTACGGATAACATTACCAAAGTGTCGGGTGGGCGGGCACCGGATGCATATGATAATGATCAGATGAATAGAGAAGGTGCATGTGCATAGATACACCCTATGATCCCACCTAACAATGATGTGAGATAGTTTTTTGATGATATCACTTGCAATGATACTAATTGCTTTGGCAATACAGTTTAAATTAGTGTCGAAGGCTGTAATAGCATCCACGTCAATTGTTCAAAATTAGCTAGATGAAGCTGGCATTTTGCAACTGAGAAGAAATATCGAAGCAAACTTAAAGGTCACAGTTTTTCTTATTACAAATACATATGTTCATGTCTTAAATATATTTTAACTAAGAAGAATCGACATATTTATTTTCTAGAGTCTTCAATATCGGTTCTTAATTTAAACATAATTGCATTCCAAAACATTAGCTACCGAGTCACACAATTCCACACCTCAGTTTACCTATCGGCGATTTCACAAAGAATCTAATCCACAAAGTCCCAAGGGCTGGCCACTCCACTCAAATAATTTCCAAAAACACCCACAATACACATGGAGCAAATAAAATAGATACAAAGGACTTTTGTGGTACATAATATGACGAATAAATTCTTCGGCTGTACGCTGATGATGAATGAACGTCAGTGTGGCAGTACGCCAGACTCGCTGGAACCGGCCATTCATAAACAAATGACCGAAAAAAACTATACATTATTTATCTGTACCGATTTTGTCGTGTGTATTAAAATACAAACGTAACAATGGAGTCGCATTGTTAGAAGCAGCGGGTATAGGATAGGAGTTGTGACGGTTCCGTATTTGATTTATTTTGGTTGAGTACGAATTTTTTGATGTGAAATTTGAATACTATTCTAGTATTAGTATTATCTAAGCTAGTGAAATAAAGTTAACATCTTCGTTTGACAACACTAAAAAGCGTTTTTGAAATCTAATCACTCGTTTAAAATCAATTTTATACACAACAGATGAACACTAAAACACGATCTCTATACGAAAGCTTCACAAAATCTACCAGAAAGATTACTCTTCAAAACCTTTACGTACAGAACCCCAAAGATGTGAGAGAATTTCGAAGAGACGACGGGGCGGAGCGAGTAAAAAAATCATCAATGAACGAGCAACAATAAATTCCCCAGAATTCTGGATTTACACCATACATGGAACGGCGTGAAATTTGCTCTTTCTCAGGACAAACTCTCTCATTACACAAAACACTATGTGGGCAACAGTAGCCATCGTTCACAAATCTTTGTAAAATATTCCATTGTCAGCAAGATGAGTCTCGGAATTGAATTTTAATGGAAATATCAAATGAAACTGACACAAGAGCGGGTTCTTTGGACGATGTTTAGCCAATAATGGCGTTGTTACTTGAAAGTATATTGTCAGTTAAATTAAACTTTGTGCCGACACAATGCTGTCTCGATTTAATGCGTTTGATATCATTTGAATTGATATCGAAAATTATATTAGATTTTGTTTCTTTGTTAACTTTGCTTGGTAATACTATATTCTGAAAACTGGTAGAAATGAAATTAATATTTGTGGCTTTCAATAGAAATGTGTAGGCGCTTGATGATAGTCAACTTCTATTCGTTCATTCGTTTAGTTGAGGACATTATTTCGATAAGCATGTTTGCTAAGGAGGTATTTAAGAACCTATTATAAAAAAACTGTGTTGTACTGGTTAATATGAAAATTACTATTTCTTAAAGCCGGTGAGGGTTTGTATTGTTATAAATCCCTTTATCTTAATAAATCCTTTTATCTGTAGGTACAGAGTCAATATTTCCAATTACTATTATTTCAGATCTAGCAGTATCAAACAAATAAACAATAATATTTGACGGCGTAGCCACAGCGCCGTCTATTATTTCTTGTGTAGGTCTCATATTGTCTAGGTAAAAAAGTCTTGTGTAGGTCTTGTGTACAGGTTAAAAAGGTACATTTTAAGTGAAGATGTTTACCTAATATTTGATAAAATTTTATAATACTTACTTGAAATTATCTCTTACTAATTATTGTGTCCATTTTGGGTACCTTGATTACGAACCTTAAAAATTAATACATCTCATAACATCACGCCTTTTATCCCTGAAGGAGTAGGCATTGGTGCACACAGAATTAACACCCACTTTTCACTGTTTATGTTACGAGTCCCATGTAATAGGGGGTAAGTCTATTGCCATATACCGGGCACATTTCCAGACTCCGTGCTGCTACTGAATTTTTTTTAAACCCAGTAATGCTTTGCCCGACCCGGAAATCGAACCCGAAACCCCTTGCCCGGTAGTCGCACTTGCGACCACTCGGCCAACGAAGCAGTCGAATTAATACATTTTACATTTAATTACGAAGTGTTTGTCTAAGGAGAGAATAGAAATCTCTCATGAGACATATTTTTTTTTTTATAAAATATACTAAAATAATAATTATGTTTTTGCTTTACTCACGTAACTGTTTGACTAGGAACTCGACTAGTTTCAAGCCATGCTAGAGGCTCATATTAATGAGTAGTAAGCCGAATACATAATAATTAATAGAAAACCCAACCATAACATATTATGGTGTGCTTAACCGTCCTTGTGATGAATACTCTAAAATCGTTTAATATTGCAGGTTTTTAAATGAACTTTCCAACTCTTACTTTTTAATCTGACTGAACTGAATGTGTTTAGTATTTTTTACTGCCTTTTCTATCTAGATTATCATCAGAATACTTAATATTCTTCATACGTCAATCTGATGCGCTCGAGGTTATGTATATATTTAACGGGGTATATGTATGTTATAATGAGGGGTTCATTATTGTAAATTATTTTGCAATAATACAGCACGAAAAAGCAAATCAAATAAAACTATTTCATGTTTTTATAATAACTATCGTGAGACATACTAAATTAAGTAAAGCTTTTCTCAGTATATTCACGTGAGTAACCCGCGATTTTACTTAAAACTATGCCAATTACAAAAACACATATACATAACTACAATCTCTTTATTGATAAAAGTACACATGATAACAATTATATTAAAAAATAACAATCATTTCTGGTTTCTCTTCTTTAAACGACGATAGAAGTAGACATTGCATTGTTCAGCATGCTGCACGAGTTCAAGTTCTCACCTCTCGCTACTCTGAAATATCCCTTTTCACCGAATTTTTCGCCCCAAGAATTCTTTATGATCCAAAATGGTACATCTTTCTCTGCAGGGTAGATTAAAAGGGTATATTAAAATAATAAGGACAATGACAATATGTGAATTAAAAATGTATTTAGTCCGTCAGTTAGGCAATTAAAAAACATTAGACACGTTGTTATATAACAGCTACGTCACTTCTGAGTATAAAACCTACTCAAAAGTGACGACACACGCTATTTCAAATCGACGTCTTATCCTAGAAAGTATTGTCGTGGAGAACCTAACAGGTTACCGGGGCTCCGGCTCGAAGCGCAGGACTTTTCCTGCGCTTCCTGACTGAACTTCCTGACTAAAAACCACCCCGTTCCTTCGAAAGGGGTGGTTTTTAGTCAGTAAGAGTCTGACACTCCCTCCTGCCTCACCCAGGCGGGAGCAGTCATTCGAAGATCACCTCTTAAAAAAAAATAAAAAACATCCTAAAAATATTTGTCTCCATAAGAAAATAAAAATGTATGTCTTATGTTGTAAAATAATCTTTCAGACGAACATTAAAATAAACATTAGTTATCTTGTCCATTCCATAAGTAGGTGCATGCCTAGGCACCTGTCATTTCTAGAATAACCGTTCGATTTTGGCAAAGAAATCTCGAGTAATTTTCGATTTTACGAAAATTCTCAAACAGTGTCTGATAAAGTCAAGTAACTGATCCCATATTTATATTTATACTGATTGTTGAAGCATCTTACCAACGCCATATCCCACTAGTAGGACTCCATGGTTGATGTTACCGACGTTGCAGTGTTCATCAGGGAAGATTCCGTTGGTGTAGAATTGCAAACCATCAGCTTGTATAGCTGTAAACAAATAATATTATTTTGGCCTTTTTTATATTAGATAGTGGTGGTAAGCGACGATGTGGCCCACGATGGAGCACGTCGACCCATTAGCAACCTATTCACTCGGGCCTTGGAGACACCCAGCCTTCTATAAACTTAACTTGACTGATAGTTCCTCATCAAGAAAAAGTTATGTTATTTTTTTTATTGTGACAAGCCAGCCACATCCTCCCAATACCGCTGCAACTCCTATAAACCAGGATCTACAGTAAATACAACCTTAAAAATACCGGAAAACTGAAGTCCGCGTCTCAGGGATATGAATAACTTGGTTGGTTTCCGCAACGAAATAAATCAAAAGCCCAGTCGCCAATCACCACGGAAATATTTGACTAAAAACTGAGTGGGTCCTACTACCTATATAAGACTTGCTTCTTGCTTCCAATAATAGGTATGGCAACTAATTACTTAGTCAAATTTCCGTGCTAATTGGCGACTCGGCTTCACCCAGGTATACAGTCTCTTCTTTGTGCCTATACCTAGGCTTAATTCATTCTGTTTTCTGCAGTAATTCACCGAGGGAAGTGGAAACTATAGTTTTTTTCTTCTTCTCCTCTTATAATATCTTCTGATTCACTTCGTTGCGGGAACCAAGACAGTTACTCATGTCCCTGGGACGCGCCGGACTTCAGTGTTCCGGTGTTTTCATGGTTGTATCTACTGTAGATCCTGGCTGACAGGAGTTGCAGTGGTTTTGGAAGGTAGTAGCGGGCTTGTCCCATAAAAAAAAATAAGTATGGCAAAAACGCCTAAGCCTAAACGCACGGGAATTTGCTCTAGACTCCTCAAGGTCTTTATAAGAAATTCCACCTGGTGATAATTTATTATATCTAACATAGTGTAACGTCCTTAAAGTTATGTTATATAGATTCTATATATACTTTATATGTGTCGAACCTTATTGAATAAAACTAGATATTAATTATTTAAGTTACCGATAGATATGGGTCCAGTGTTGTACACCAGTTGTTTCAGCTTCTCCTGAGACGTCAAGTTAAAAGCGCGACAATCTGACAATTTTGCCTTAACTTTTTTGACATCAAAGTAACAGTCATCCATCTCATCGTGAATGTATGGGTAGTCGGCTTCAGATTCTATACCTCCTGTGTTCTTTATAGTCCTGTATGAGAAAATATTATTAATGTTTGATACTAAATTGAACTGCTTCGCTGGCCAAGTGGTCGCATGTGCGACTGTCGGGCAAAGGGTCTTGGGTTAAAAAAAATCTGTTTAGTAGCACATAGTCTGGAATTGTGCCCGGTATAAAGCAATAGGCTCACTATCACTTTTCACTATTAATGCTAACATTAATAGCAATAGCAATAACATGGAACTTCTAAAAGTTCCATGTTATTGCATTTATAACATTAATACAGTATTAATACAGTGAGTGTTACATTGTTCAGTGGCATTAAGTGCTGTAATTCCCTTCGGGGATAAATGGCGCGTGGTGTTATGTTATTTTTAAATTGAACGGGTCATTGTGGAAGAAAGAATAAATGTAATTTAAAAAAAATAGAAGCATTCAGCAATTATAAGTCAACACTTACTCAGTCAACACTGATAAACAGATATTTTGGAATAGTTATACGTGTGTAAGTCCATTTACCTGAAGGCGTAACTCATTAAACCTCCATTGCACCCGCTAGAGTCATCGTCGCAGTCTACAATTTGTTGAGGAGACAAATCAAGCAGTTCTTTATGTTTGATCGCATGCTGTCCCTCAATGTTACCTAAAGTGTAAAATTACTATATAACATGACGAAGAAAGATATCGCGTAGAAACGATAAGTTATTTAAAACACTTCTTTCTTCTTTGAGTGTCTTCTTTGAGCAACCAGTTTTTATATACAAGATGTAAAAAGCCACCCACAAATTAGAACTAGATGATATCAAAAATATTAGATTATAATTCAAATCAAATCAGAAACAAAATCAGAGACATTGTAGAACATATTTTTTTTAAAAAGAGTAACGAATGGAGTTTCTTGCTCGTTCTTCTCCATTCGAATCTACTTTTTGAAATGAGCACCTAGCTTCACCTAGTTTCACTGACGGACTGACTGACAGACTATTATTTATTTTGTATTTGTTGACGTTTCAAAAGTGCCAAACTATGGTTTAATTGAAATAAATGCTTTGACTTTGACTTTGACAAACATAATTTTCAGATCTATCCTCTCTTATAAAACATATTTGTTTCATCATCAACAGCCTATAAGTGCTGCTGACCAAAGACCTCTTCCCAAACTGTGAAGGTTTGAGCATTAATCACCACGCTTGCTCAATGTGGGACGGCGATTTCAAACTTATAGAGGTAATTAAAATTTATAAGCCGATGTTTCCTCACGATGTCTTCCTACAGCGTTTGTCAGTGTTGTCTAAATAATCTTAGAAAGTACATATTATGATTTAGAAAAAGACATATTAGTACTACAAGCATTAAAAGTGGATGACATAAACGACCACTATTAAGACTATATATTTGTTTATCAAATACTATGATTCGGTTGATGGCGATGATGAAAAGAAAAATAAATAAAATCTTACCAACTGCACTGAATGCGTAGCAACTACCACAATTACCCTGGTCTTTAACTGATGACACTACGCCACGATCACGCCAGTCGAACGACTCTGGTGCGTCATTATGATTACAAGTATCGTCACAATCATCATAATCGCAACCAGAGTCAAAGTTCACATCAACTCTAGGTAGACATGAATAAATACTGGTAAATTCTTCAGCATCCAGGTCCATAAATTGGGTTATACCTGTAAGGAAGAGGAAATTTTGTCATGTTGTAAAAGACATGATGAAATTAAGAACTTTAACTTTAAATTAATTGGAACTGTTCGAGTTTCTCTTCAAACAGTTACGTCAGTATGCCGAAAACATGATAATTGTCATTGTGAAATTCCCGGTTTAGGTAAAAAAAAGATTATTTACTGTTGATGGATAATAGGAATGGCGACCGATGGTAGTAATATGCAACAGTGTGTAGATCATAGTCATAACACAACTGGAGAAGAAGGCATTACAGTAGAAGGTGAAGCAAACAAGACATGAAACCTTATTATACGACCAACTGCAAGAAACTTACCATGGACAGCATGATCGATTTCTTCATTCAGTTTGTTAACTTTCTTTAAGTTCTTAACGAAAATTTCGTATCTGTACTGTTTCTCAACATGGTTTTGGTATTTCTTTCCGAATTTTTGAATGAATTCTTCGAAATGGTTTTCAGCGTCTTCGATATTGTACGGTGATGGTCCACACCATACGACCGAAACGGCAAACCCAAAAAACCAAATGAAGATCGGAGACATGTTTGCTCTATACTCCTGGCTACCACTTTACAACTACCTATATGCTCTACATAAACTTGATTTATATACCAATTTCATACAACAAAGAATTTCAACGATTACGTAAAAAATTAGACGTATTTAACTTTAATCTCTATTTTCTATTTACGACGTTGTAGAAGGCTTTGTCAGAAATTCCTGTGTTATCAACAATGCAATAGTTACTATGCAAAAAAATATTTTATCTGTATGTGCTGCATTATCAACGACAAGATTCAAATGACTGAAATTATATAACTTTGGGAAGGTCATGCTTCGGCATTAATGGACCGGCTCGACCGGAGTGACACCACGGCCTCACAGAAAACTAGCGTGAAATAACGTTTGTGTTGTATATCATCGTGTGAGTAAGGGTATAGGGGGCTCAATTTCTTACTCCCGATTTTCTCCATCCTCAAATCCTCATTCCTCAGATCCCTAACTCCCAGCCGGCTACACACTTCTACATCTCCTTTAGTGTTGGTATTACTATTACAGAATCTATCTACTTATTTGCCAGCTTATCCCATATAATAGGTGTAGCATACGGTGCTCTCTAGTTAGATGAACTGATGATATCCACAAAGTATCTGACAGTGGTTTAATGGAAGGAGCTGAAGGTAAGGGCCCAGCTTAGCAGTGTGCTACCAGAAAGACTTCATTACAAAAAGGAAAAATGTTGGCGACATTGGTAATAACTGGGTGATCGTCTATTATCAGATTCTTGGAAGCTCATCAGATATCGGAGTTTGCAAATTTAGCGGTATTCAATGCATCATCACTCAATCAAAATACATTATTTCTACTTACAAATCATTACGAGTTTTTGAAAATAATAGTGAGTTTTGACTGCACTGTGATCGCAGCAACTAGGTATATTTTTTTTTAATGTGCCGCAAACTTTAGGTATCCGTATGGAACAATATTGTGTGGTCCATGAATTATTCTTCTGGGTGTGATGTGTGTGACAATATTCTATGAATTTGTAAATACTACCACGAGTACATGCCACGTCACATATTGTAGTACGAAGCCAAGATTGTTTTACAACGCAACAGTAATAAGACAGTAAGCTGTGTTATTGACAAATAGTTGGAATATAGGGGCATAATGTATGTATTTAAGTGTCGCAGAGAACCTAAAGGGTTACCGGGGCTCCGGCTCGACGTGCAGGAGAAGGAACGGGGTGGTTTTTAGTCAGTAAGAGTCTAACACTCCCTCCCGCCTCACCCAGGCGGGAGGAGTGACTCGATGATTTTTCCCCCTTAAAAAAAAGTATTTTAGTGATGTTTTATTTAACTAGTAGAGCTTTTCTCAGTATTTTCACGTTAATCGCGTGAAAAGTCACCCTCGATTTTTAGTTATTTAAGTGATGTTAATTCATCTTATGATTTAGTAGGATACCTACACGTCATGATGACACTACAATTCTAGGTCTTTGGAATTTCGACATAACATCACGCCTTTTATCATCGAAGGGGTAGGCAGAGGTGCATATTATACCACTGTACAATGTAACACCCACTTTTCAGTATCTATGTTATGAGTTCCATGTAATAGGGGGTGAGCCTATTGCCATATACAGTTCCAGACATCGTGCTACACCAGAGATTTTTTTTTAAAACCCAATAATACTTTGCCCGACCCGGCAATCGAACCCGAGACCCCTTGCCCGGCAGTCGCACTTGCGAACACTCTGCCAACGAGGCTGTCACTCGGCCAACGAGGCAGGCAGCAGTTGGAATTAATTTCGTTTTCCAAGTAATAGCTAGATATTAATACACGTACTTTCCAATTTATTTTTGCCAACTTTATTGACTTTGTCTTTCCGAACCGTATCATTAACATCATAAACAACTACATAAATAACCTCACGTCCGTCTCTCGTCTTATGGCGGTAGGCAAAAACTATAGAACGCCAATTGCTACGATTCTTATATATCTCTTTCGTTTCATCAACAGCCACCAGGATTTTCATGCATACAAAACAAATACTTTTGTTCTATACATTACTTTTCTAATCATCATCATCATCCCATAATGAAGAATACTTAAGTACCTACTGAATCGATTTTGATGAAAGATACAGCCGTAAAATACATCTTGGAGAAGGTAATAAGTCAGAATCCCAAATTCTACCAAAAGTAATAATTATTTCATGAGCACGAAGTCGTGGGCAAAATCTAGTACATCACAGGTCCCGCTTTTGGGAAAAAATAACCACGTTTTGTGAAATATTCTTTACAGTCAAAACTAAGGCAGAATGCATTTTAGTTTCCACCATCCACCTATCGGTTGAGCTGTTTCCATTTTGTGTTTCTGAGAATGTAATGTTTGTCACAATGGTGTAGATATGTTATAACTAGCTTTGGTTTAGGATCACCTTCATGCTCAATGTCAATCCCAGCCACGAATATCCTGAGCATAAGTAGATCCCTGTAAAGTAGAGGTATATACTTCATGCTATCTAATGATTTTCACTTGACCTCAGTAAGGGTATGAATGTTTCTAACAGCTATTAAAAATATAAGATATTGTATTATCTAAACGAGTGTAATATCTAAGTATTCTTTCTCTGTAACACTGTCCTTCGAAGATATAAGGATAGTATTTTTGTGTTCAATTTTCACTTTAGCACTTAAAGGTTTAATCTGGAATAACACATAGAGCACTTTTTAACACAGAAACGCGGGTGAAGCTGCGGGCAGAAGCTAGTTTAATATTATTTAGTCTCTACTTTTACCTTTGGTCTTGTGTTATTCTGTATCTACATTAATCAGTATTTACCATAATTATGTAAATGGGTAACTGTTCCATCTACAAGGTGAAGCTTTGCCATTGATTAAAAAAAAATTACAAAAAGAAACAAATATAGCATTGCTGAAAATATTTATTTATTTAAAAGAGATTATAATGCCTTCTTTTATCTTAAGACTGGAAGAAATCTCGATACATTTTATGCAATTATAGGAGTCGACATCAAGGAGTTCATCACACCACAAGAGTTATAATTATCCCCACGAGGGAACCTGATGTAACCACTTTCACCAAACGTTGTATCCCATGAGTTCTTCGCAATCCAATATGGTTGTCCATTCTCTGCAAAAAAATCATAGTAAACAGTGTTTTAATTATTATGTTTTCGGCTTATTTACGTTACTGTTTAACGAGGAACTCGACTAGGTTGAAAGCTAGAGGCTCATATTTATGAGCAGTATTTCGCGACACGCGACGCGGCGACATTACCAGTACTCTGGTCGCCGTATCGTTCTGTCCGTTACTTATTTTGTATGCTATTCATATTATCCAGTTCCAATGTCAATGCTTACCTGTTCCATACCCGACTAGAAGAATAGCATGGTTAACTTGGCCTACATTGCATGAGTTATCTGCTATTATACCGCCCGTATAGTATTGGAAGCCCTCTGCTTGCACACCTATAAATCAGAAAGATTATTTTATTTATCTTTAAGAGAAATATAGTATATAAGGCAGTAACACCATCTCGTACGTGGTGTGTATGTGTGAGTGACAAGTTTACTGTAAAAATCATTATAACTTCGCATGTGTACTTGCGTCTTACGCAAGCTCTTATCTAGACCTTTAAAAGATTTATTTCATTTCGGGATCTACCACATTTATACGCCTCCTTGGAATGCACTGGACTTCAATGTTATAGTTTTTACTTGGTTGTATCTACTGTAGATCCTGGCTTACAAAAGTTGCAACGGTTGTGGCAAGTCCTGGTGGGATTTTCCCATTAAAAATAAGACTTTCTTACGCAATCAGTACCTACATAAGATTTCCAATCAGTTGTTCGAAACTGTGCAGAGAGTAGGTAATGATGTAATTAACATTGGACTTATATGTATAATTCAAGTGAGGGAGAGTCATGCTTCGGCACGAATGGGCTGGTTCGACCGGAGTGATACCACGAAGTGAAATAACGCTTGCGTAGTGTTTCGTCATGTGAGTAAAAATACTGGAGGCTCAATTCCCCAATCTCCCCAATAACCCTCTAATTCCTAATCCTCAAAAGGCTGGCAACGCACTCGTAACACCTCTGGTGATTCGGGTGTCCATAAGCGGTGCCCATTGCTTACCATCAGGTTATCCATCTGCTCGTTTACCGGCTTATTTCAAAAACAAAACTTTAGACTATGGTTCTATCACTGAAATTCGTAATAACTGTACTAAAAATGTGATAAGTAGAATTTGTAGTTGATAAATTCCACATCAATATAAAGTTTCATTTAATAATTTACCAATGGATATCGGTCCAACGGTGGCAACTAATTGCTTAAGCCGTTCTTGTGAATTGAGCTCGTATCTGTTACAGCCAGTCAGTCTGACAGCTGCCTTGCTAGCTTGGAATGTACACTGTTCCGCCTGACCAGCATAGGGATAGTCGGATTCTGTCTCCAAACCGCCCAAGGCAATCATAGAACTACAAAATGAAAGTGAACATGAGCTCTCAATAGTTCAGACAGAGTTATAGTTAAAATTATTTCCAATAAGCAAGTCTTCTTTTCGATCGCTTGTTTCATTTCTGAAGGTCGTGCCCCTAAAAGGGTTTCATTGCACTGTGTGTTATTTCTTCTTCTTCTTTTAAAAAACGTTGCCCCACACTAGGATTTTCTCCTGTGTCGTAGGTGCGTTTACAAACATACAAGTACACATACACAAAGACACCCAGACCAGAAACAACGGTTTGTGGATCACACAAAGTGTTGTCCCGTGCGGGAATCGAACCCGCGACACGTTGCACGGCAGCCGGTTGCCCAGCCACCGCACCAACCGTGCAGTTTCCCTACATCTTGTCCTGTTTTTGGCTTGTCTCAGGGCTTTCGTAACAGAGCAAGTAGGTATAGTATAAGCAAGTAATTAGTAGCAAATATTTACTTGAATGCAGATGTCATTAGACCACCTCCACATCCGCTGGATGCACTGTCACAGTCAACTGTCTGTTGTTCGGAAAATTCTGTCAACCGACCATATTTGATGGCATATTGGCCCTCAACGGCTCCTGTAACATTTTGAAATGAAAACATAATTTTGATTAGCTTTGTTTAATAGAAAATATAAATATTTAGAATATAGAGTCGATGGTGAATTTTGGGTCAATATCATCAACAGAACGTCACCACTATAAAAGTCTGTAATACGTCTGGGGGTACTGCTGTACCAGCTTTTACTGGAACCATTTCGCCGCCTTTTCAGGCTACCATTTGAGAACCTCTGCATAAGACCAGAATGCAGAAATGTTCATCATCCAGTAAACTATTTTTCCTAGTAGCAATTTTCCATCTTCAATGGGTAGCGGTTTAACGGCCAAGTCACGCAACATTAAGTATAATAATAAAGAAATCGCAGTAATGAACTTGAGACTTGGCACGACTTTGTCTAAATTTCATTTCTTTTTAAAGATGAACGACCGGCTCTATCGAAACTTGGCTAGTTTTTTATAGAATGTTTTTGGTGGGATTCTACTTACCTGCTGCACTGAATGCATAACAGCTCCCACACTGAAGCTGGTTCTTAACCCTTGTAACTACATTCTGTTGACGCCAATCAAACGACTCTGGCACATTCACATTAGGGAGCTGCACATCAGTCACTGTATTACATTCTCCAGTGAAATTTAAACCTGCATTTAGTCCAGTGTGGAGGTTGAGGAATTCTTCCAGAGTGAGATCCATGAAACGGGTAATACCTGAAATTGTTATACGGTTAATAACATACGTCATTATTTTGTATATATGTTAAAGAAATTATTGAGATACCGCAAAGCCTGAAGACAAAAGTCTTCAACGAGTGCGTCCTTCCAGTAATGACATACGGAGCCGAGACGTGGACACTGACAGTGCGACTGGTCCACCAATTTAAGGTCGCGCAGCGAGCTATGGAGAGAGCTATGCTCGGAGTCTCTTTGAAGGATCGAATCCGAAACGAAGTGATCCGACAGAGAACCAAAGTTATCGACATAGCCCAAAGGATCAGTAAGCTGAAGTGGCAGTGGGCCGGTCACATTTGTCGAAGAACCGATAACCGTTGGGGTAAACGTGTTCTAGAGTGGAGACCGCGTCTAGGCAAACGCAGTGTAGGGCGTCCTCCAGCTAGGTGGAGTGACGACATCTGCAAGGTGGCTGGCAGTGGTTGGATGAGAAGAGCTGAAGACCGAGCTCAGTGGCGTGCCATAGGAGAGGCCTATGTCCAGCTGTGGACGAATACAGGCTGATGATGATGATGATGAATTATTGAGTGATTACGTACCAAACCTAGAATGTTCGGTTTGCGCATTCAAAGCGTTAGCTTTTTCCAAGTTGTCTTTGAAGACTTCAAACTTGGCTTGCTTCTCTTCCTCGCTCGCGTATTGTTTGTTGTAGTCTTGTATGAAGCGCTCGAAGTGATACTCAGCGTCTTCGGCGTGGAACAGTGGCATCTTCGCTGCCTGCGCACAGGCCGCTAAACAAACACAGAAAACAATCACAGAGGGAGACATTGTCACAATGTGGCAATCACACTTCTGTTTTTCTTTAAGAAAGTGAGTCCTTTTATACGTATTTGTGTATGAAATATTTGATAAATATTTATCTAGTATGAAAATAATTTGCATTACAATATTTTTACTGAATATTTGTAATTTCTAGATAAGTACTTATTTTTATGGTTTTGTAAATATTTTTTTATAAATATTTTTTTTTTATCAAATTCCATTCAATAAATTGGTACATCATTTCGCTAAAAATTTTTGTTAAGTTATTTGTCCATACATTTACATGTAGAACGTACGTATCTCAAAGATATAACTTGAAATTTATCCCTGTGTATTTTTTTGTAAAGTTAAAATGTTTTTATGCCTTTTGTGCTTTAGAAATAATACGATTTTAATTATTTAAGATTTTTTTATTGGTAATGACTGAAAAATGAGTAAAAACAAGGTTATGTAATTCCCCGAATATGATGTAGATAAAGCAAAAGGAAGTCGAATCTTCTACAGCAGTGGGGTTGAGGACATGTTCCTCAGTACTGAGTCCCTTTGACTGGTGACTCTATCAACTTGTCATTAGGACATCTCAATTGGGCAGAATAGGCATTCCGATAGCCGTGGGCTCCGGACAGCTATATCTCGCCATTAACATAGCCGCTTGGGCACAAACACTCGAACTGTCGAGGCACATCGCAGACTCGGCTGCGTCAATATCCACAATAGCTTTCCTTCACAGCATATTGCTTCATCACCAGGGGTGGAATTAGAACAGCTCCACCCCTGAATACTGTTTCACTGTGTAGAAACGGACTCCCCATGGATGGCGCGCGCAATAACGCGCCGGTGCTAAACGGCACGAAAACTTCAATAGCGGGATACAGGACGTTTGTTTACAGGCTGCATTGTTAGCGCAGCGCACCGACTGCTGTGCATCGTGTCGCAGGTTCGATTCCCGCCCGGTACAACTTTTTGTGTGATCCACAGATTGTTGTTTCGGGTTTGGGTGTCATTTGTATGTGAATCTATACAGATTCACAGTTTTGTAATTTTCGTAAAAATATCTTATTTACTACGAGAGATACATACATAATTATTTACGTAGGTACATTTAATTATACATTTCCTTACGAATAGACTGGATAAATAAGGGCAATTAAGGCATGATCACGGAATGTGAGATAGTCGTCCGAAAACTGATGAAAAATCTTTATTTTGACGACATAGTACTTAATATCTCTGATTATTATGTCTTTGACCATCTTTTGGTAGATGAACACGATATGTAAGTTTTGAGACAAGTTTTAAGGAGTCAACATCAAGTTTTTAGCCGACTAGGTATCTCACATTCCGAAGTGCAACCCTTATTTTACTTAATTAAAACGAGCAAAATAGTTTCTAAATCAAATTTTATTAAACAATAATTATTGAATACAACATTTACCAAATTTTATCAAACAGTAATTACTTAATCGGTAATATTTTTTTATATTAAACTGTTATAACGAACTCTATTGATTGTACTGTATGATCATCAAGATTGAGAGTGTGTTTCATATATCAGACCGATCGCGATCTGTCGTCACTTGCAGGAATGTAAGGTTTAACTACGTAGCTATGTAGACTAAGTTGTTTTGTTTAAGTTGTAAATACATTTGTTATGTAAAAGCACGATGCTTTTGTGTATGACGACGTGCTTTTGTGTACAAAAATCCCTTACAATAAATGATAGTAAAAAAACTACGTAGCATTTAGTATTTACTATTTTTGTAAATTTAAATCATTATTCAAGATTTCCGAAGCTCATCTACACGCGCGGAAGCGCATTAAGCCAAATTCTAATACATATTTCTCTGAACATCGTTTTATTTTTAATTGATATTGTATAAAATTATATTAAAGAATGTATAAGAATTATACAACAGTTTGTCTTATTTCATTTACAATTGAAAAACGAAATACTATAATAACATTAGTACTATTTTGGGTATTTAAAAAAGGTGTATAAATCTAAATAAAATACATAAGTAGTAAAGCAAATCCTAAATTCATCAAAGTTTAATGTACTATATATTTAGCTATTTTATTTTCTAGTGAATACTTATGTCTGGGTTTCTTGAGATATTATTGATGTTCATATATATGTTTTGTGTTGTACCTGTAATCTTTCTGTGTATACTAATCCATCTGTTTAGATTATTCAATAACTATTGTGACAAGCTTTGTTTATGTTCAATAAAAATAAGGTTTAAAAAATGAAACAAAATTATTGCATTGTTGAAAGTATTTTTATTTATTCATCATTTAGAAGATATTATTATTTATATTTAGTATACATCACGACAGTTATAATAGAGAATAAAGTGTGTTTTTCATTTAAGAACTCTCTGTTTTAATACAAAGTCTTGATACAGTTTATGCGATTATAGGAGACGCCATGCCCTGATTCATCACACCACAAGAGTGATAATTATCCCCACGAGGGAACCTGATGTAACCACTTTCACCAAAAGTTGTATCCCATGAGTTCTTCGCAATCCAGTATGGTTGACCATTTTCTGCAAAAAACTACAGTTAACCAAATGTTCCAAATTGTTTGACACCGTATTTAATAACTACCATAGTATCGAAGAAGTTCAATGTATTGCTAGATGTGGTAAAGAACAGCGTTGCACTATTAGGTATAATTACACAAATTTAAGGTACGTACACGTACACACACTATAACAAAGTGTTCAAAACAGCTACAAAAAAGTAAAAGCTTTTTAAAAATCAGTTCAGCATTTTTGGTCATGCAAACTAAACGTGTTTACAAAATATCAGCTCAATAATTAGTTGATATATGCTTCAAAATTTAGTTTTAAGATTCCACTTCACACAGATACATACATCATATAACCATATATCCACACATACATATTATATGTACATACATACATTTTAACTTAAGTAAAAGCTCTTAAAAAGATGGAGCAAAATTTATTAAGTGCATATTATGTGCCGCTCCTTTGACCCACATGAAACAGTTTTTTTTTTCTGAATGAACTAAAAATTACGAGTTACTCGCGTAAATATACTGGGAAAATCTCTACTAGTTTCGAGTTACAGAGGGACTCTTCTTCATAAGCAGCGTGCGCAGTCGCGGCAATGTCGCGCAGCCTACTCATCACCGCAACCGAGCCGCATATCTCACGATAGTTATTATAATTTTTTTTTATATACCATTACTTATTTCTAGTGCCCACCGAAGCTTCGGCTTCGGCTTCGGCTTCGGCCACCTTCGGCCAAAAAGCCCACCTTCGGCAAAACATTCGGCTTCGACCCAAAGCCCAGCCGAAGCCGAAGGTCCGAGCGACTGCCGAGATTAACTCGTCGAGTACCGGCTTTATAGACACAATTAAAGAACAATAGGTCGCGGTCACCGGTGACCGCTTGGTGTTTGACAGTTTAAACGAACGATTGAACGAACTGTTACGAATGTCATGAGGCGGCGGGGAGTCACTGTCAAAATATCACATTGCATGCATTTTTTCAATTATTCATATTAAAGAAATGATTACTTTTACCAGTAGGTCAATCACAAACTTTTATTAATCTCTAAACCAACCATCTCTTTGATATATCATAAACTTGTTTATAAGACAGTCAATATAAACCTTCAATAATGAGGTTTTGAAATAATTTTAATATTAATTGTAGCTTGTAGACAATATTGAACTATATAATTGACTGAGTGCTGAGAAAATATAAACCTTCGGCTTCGGCCAAAAATACACCTTCGGTCGGACACTACTTATTTCATATAGTGTTCATATTATCAAGTTCCAATGTCATTGCTTACCTGTTCCATACCCGACTAGGAGAATAGCATGGTTAACTTCGCCCTCATTGCATAAGTTATCTTCCATTATACCGCCCGTATATGTTAGGAAGCTTTCAGCTTGCACAGCTATAAAAAAGGGAACTCATGAGAGGAACTGGTATAAGGAAGGAAACAATTTGTTCAGTTGTGTTTTACGAATGGGCCGGCTCGACCGGAGTGATACCACGGCCTCATAGAAAATCGACGTGAAGCAACGCTTGCGTTGTGTTTCGTCGTGTGAGTGTGGTTACCGGAGGCTCAATTACCCTCCCCTTCCCCAATCTCCCCAATTCCTGAATCGCCAACGATCCTCAAACTCCTAATCCCCAAAAGGCCGGTAACGTACTTGCAACGCCTCTGGTGTTCCAGGTGTCCATGGGCGACGCCGATTGCTTACCATCAGGTGATCCGTCTGCTCGTTTACCGGCTTATGCCATAAAAAAAGTTGTATTTCATAGGAGATAATGCAAAACGGTGGGTATTTAAAAATTTTATAGAAAGCCTCCAACTTGCTTTGTGGTAAGCGACAATGTGGCTTATGATGATACAGCCTGTATAAAAGCAACCTATAATCACTCGGAACCTAAAATATACTCTTCTCTTTGCTTTACCGTTTATCTGGTGGTACCTTGAAGAGAATTGTGATACTAAGCAGCCTTTATGTAAAGAGCTTGCAACTGAGCGTGACCAGAGTCGTAGAAAGATGTAAAAATCGGTAAATTTATTGTTCGAGTTCTACTTACATAATAGGGGCATATTGAGACCGTGCTTAATTCTAAATAACTGTACTAATGTGTTTTGAGTTTGTGGTCAGTAACAAACCAATAAAAAACGTAATTCACATAATTTACCAATAGATATCGGTCCAACGGTGGCTACTAATTCCTTTAGCTTTTCTTGTGAACTAAGATGGTAGTTAGTACAGCCAGTCAGTCTGACAGCTGCCTTGCCTGCTTGGAATTGGCAAGACTGTTCTTTACCAATATAAGGATAGTCGGATTCTGTTTCCAAACCGCCTGCGTTGATCATGGCACTACAAATGAATGTTTTGTCATCAATAATATGATTTATACATAAATACTCGATGCTCGTGGTCCTCCTAAATCCTCGATAGTTGAAATTGAAGAACTCACTATAGATTGTTACAAGTCAAAAAATAATTTGTACCGTAATGCCATAGAATTTCACATTTACAATAATCATGTAGAAAGGAATAGTTACCTGAATGCAGATGTCATTAGACCACCACCACATCCGAGGGATTCTTTATCACAATCCACTGTTTGTTGTTCAGAAAGTTCTATCAACTGACCATGTTTGATGGCATATTGGCCTTCAACGGCTCCTGTAACAATTTAAAATCATCATTGATTCTACTGAAAGGAAGACAAATGATATTTTGGTGCTGGTTGTCATCAACAAAATGTCACGACTAAGGTTCTGCATTGAGAAGTATGTACGTCATTCTTACCGGCTGCACTGAATGCATAACAGCTCCCACACTGAAGCTGGTTCTTAACCCTAGTAACTGCATTCTGTAGACGCCAATCAAACGACTCTGGCACATTCACATTAGGGAGCTGCACATCAGTCACTGTATTACATTCTCCAGTGAAATTTAAACCTGCATTTAGTCCAGTGTGGAGGTTGAGGAATTCTTCCATAGTGAGATCCATGAAACGGGTAATACCTGAAATTGTAATACCCTTTAATAACATACGTCATTATTTTGTTAATAATAATATGATAAAGGAGTTATTGAATGATTATGTACCAAACGTTGTATGTTCGGTTTGCTGATTCAAAGCGTTAGCTCTTTCCAAGTTGTCTTTGAAGACTTCAAACTTGGCTTGCTTCTCTTCCTCGCTCGCGTATTGTTTGTTGTGGTCTTGTATGAAGCGCTCGAAGTGATACTCAGCGTCTCCGGCGTCGAACAGTGGTATCTTCGCTGCCTGCGCACAGGCCGCTAAACAAACACAGAAAACCATCACAAAGGGAGACATTGTTACACAGTGGCACACTTCTGTTTTTCGAAAGTGAGGCGTTTTGTATGTATTTGTAATATTATGAAGTATTTGATTAATGAAAATTATTTGCAATATTTACGTTATTTTTATTGAATATTTGTAATTTCTATTTTTATGATTTTGTAGATATTTTCCTATCGAGTTCCATTCCATGAACATTATGTACCTGAAAATTTTTATTAAGTTGTTTGTCCATACATTAAGAAATAATGTAATGTTATTGAAAAATGTATGAAGAAGGATTACGGAGGCCCAATTTCCCATTTCCCAAACTCTCTTTATGAAAAAATTAAGCAAAAGGAAGTCGAATCTTCTACAGCAGTGGGGTTGAGGACATGTTCCTCAGTACTGAGTCCCTTTGACTGGTGACTCTATCAACTTGTCATTATGACATCTCAATTGGGCAGAATAGGCATTCCGATAGCCGTGGGCTCCGGACAGCTATATCTCGCCATTAACATAGCCGCTTGGGCACAAACACTCGAACTGTCGAGGCACATCGCAGACTCGGCTGCGTCAATATCCACAATAGCTTTCCTTCACAGCATATTGCTTCATCACCAGGGGTGGAATTAAAACAGCTCCACCCCTGAACACTGTTTCACTGTGTAGAAACGGACTCCCCATGAATGGCTCGCGCAATAACGCACCGGTGCTACACGGCACGAAAACTTTAATAGCGGGATACAGGACGTTTGTTTACAGACTGCATTGTTAGCGCAGCGCACCGACTGCTGTGCATCGTATCGCAGGTTCGATTCCCGCCCGGTACAACTTTTTGTGTGATCCACAGATTGTTGTTCCGGGTTTAGGTGTCATTTGTATGTGAATCTGTATGTTTTGTAATTTTCGTAAAAATATCTTATTTACTACGAGAGATACATACATAATTATTTACGTAGGTACATTTAATTATACATTTCCTTACGAATAGACTGGGAAAATAAGTAAATAAGGTATGATCGCGGAATGTGAGATACGTAGTCGTCTGAAAACTGATGAAAAATCTTTATTTTGACGACATAGTACTTAATATCTCTGATTATTATGTCTTTGACCATCTTTCTGTAGACGAGGACGATATGTTAGTTATGGGACAAGTTCGAAGGAGTCAATATAGAGACTTTGGACAAGTTTTTAGCCGACTATCTCACATTCCGATGTGCAACCCTAATTATCACGAATTAAAACGAGCAAGATAGTTTATAAACCAAATTTTATCAAACAGTAATTACTTAATACCTCTAGATAATATTTTTTTATATTAAACGGTTTTAATGCACTCCTCAACAACAATCAAGTTCTTTCGTTTGATGATCCGTAATGGAGTAATTGTGAAAAAAATTAAAACTTGATTATACTGTATGGTCATCAAGATTGAGAGTGTGTGTATATATCAGACCGATCGCGATCTGTCGTCACTTGCAGGAATGTAAGTTTTAACTACGTAGCTATGTAGACTAAGTTGTTTTGTTTAAGTTGTAAATACATTTGTTATGTAAGAGCACGATGTTTTTGTGTACGACGACGTGCTTTTGTGTACAAAAATCCCTTACAATAAATGATAGTAAAAAAACTACGAAGCATTTAGTTGTTTTTTTCAATCTCTTTGACTGGATTTAGGTGTTGCATTGTTCTCACACAATCGAACCAATTAAACTATGTAACTAGAGAATTGTATTGTGAACCTGATTGAAAAAGAGTAACCTTTAGGAGCTAGGTAGGAGAGCCTAGTGTCCTAGAGGAGGTTTCTTCTTATCTTCTAGTAGTAGTGAAACTCCGATGAGAGGTGTTGACAAGAATGATTTTATTTCGCCAAACTACGCTACTTATATTTCTATTTACATATTTACAACTAGACAAGATCAGATATAGTTAGGTGATAGTTTCGACCAATAGCGGCGCGCCGGCGTGCGCGGGGCGCGCGGGGTGCGGGGCGCCGCTTTGCACACGGCACTATCGGTTCCTTCCGTATAAGTATGACCGCGCGGCGCGAGCGCGCGCATTTCTCCGAGAGCCGGCGTCGAGTGAAGACTGAAGACTACCTACAGATGAATGAAGAATGAAGATGAATGCAAGTACTCCGGCCTCCGGCTCCGCTTGCGCTGCTTGGCTGCTTGCTTTACCAAACCGCTTCTTTCGAAGCGATCGCTCGCGGCACGGTGTGATAACGCTGTTGCCGCAGTGATGATTATCGTTTCTATGCAAGAAAGTCGAAAACTGTCTTTTTCAAGACAATTGGTTTCTGGTTTCTTAAAACGGAGTCAAAACGTAAACTGTCTTTTTCAAGACAATTGGTTTCTTGTTTCTTTAAACGGAGTGAGTCTATAACTTTGGTAAAGGTATTGTGGAAGGTATCTGGTATATGGAAAGGTATTCGGTGGTACTGGTAACTGGTAGGTATGTAGTCGTGCGGTGCGGCTACAAACCTATGGAGTTTCTTGCTCGTTCTTCTCCATAGGAATCTACACGTTGGAATGAGCAAATAGCTTCAATTCTAAATGTTGGTTGTTGACGTTCAAAAGTGCCATCCAGGTCTAATTGAAATAAATGATTTTGACTTTGACTTTGATTTTGACTATTTTTGTAAATTTAAAACATTATTCAAGATTTCCGAAGCTCATCTAGACGTAGGTAGCGCATTAAGCCAAGTTCTAATATATATTGCTCTGAACATAGTTTAATTTTTAATTGATATTGTTTAAAATTGTATTTAATAATAAATATACCACAGTGTGTCTTATTTCATTTAGTAAATTCTACAATAATAGACATAAAAATGTCGTGGTAGACCGGAGGTTAAGATGCCCGCTTCTCATGCATGAGGGTGCGGGCTCGAAACCTACCAATAGCAAGTACCAATGTGACTTTTTCCGAGTTATATGTACTTTCTAAGATTATTTAGACACCAATGACAAACGGTGAAGAAAAACATCGCGAGGAAACCTGGGCTTATAATTTCTAATAATAAGTTTGAAATCGTCAACCCGCAACGAGCAAGCGTGGTGATTAATACTCAAAACTTCTCCGTGTGAGAAGAGGCTTTGCTCAGCAGTGACACTTACAGGCTGTTAATGACGATAACTATAATAATATAAGTACTATTTTGTGTAATTCACAATATTTGTGTAAATCTAAAAAAAATGTAAAGTAGTAAAGATAATCCTAAATTCATTTAAGTTTAATGTATTTAAGCTATTTTACTTTCTATTCAATACTTCTCCTCATATCTGGTTTTGCTTGAGATATTATTGATGTTTAAATTGTGTTTTGTGCATTTTTTGTGTTGTACCTATAATCTTTCTGTGTATACTAATCCATCTGTTTAGATTATTCAATAACTATTGTGACAAGCTTTGTTTATCTATACTTATAATAAATCTGTAGAGAGGTCAATTCTGTACATAAAATATATTTAAAAAATAACTATCAAGGGGTGGTTAGGGATCGCTACTGATGCCAAAAATGCAATCAGTAAAATTTTTGTCTGTCTGTCTGTCTGTCTGTATGTTCGTTATGGAAACAAAAACTACTCGACGGATTGTAACGAAATTTGGCACAATTATTCTTCATACTCCTGGGCAGGTTATAGTATACTTTTCATTGCGCTACGATCAATAGGAGCAGAGCAGTAAAGGGAAATATTGGAAAAACGGGAGTAGTTACTCCATTTTTTAAGCTTCCGTCACGTGTGCAGGCTTATAGGTTAAAGCTACATAGAAATCATGTATGACGGAAATATTCTCCTTAAAATTATATAAAAAATATTCCTCGACAGCATATGTCTATCTTTTATGGTTGACTCACAATAACACGTGAAACTCCTGATAGCTAAGCAATTCGGTGATTTCTGATTGTATTTTTCTACTCTAACGTTTACAATACTCATAGACTTTACGCTGTAACTGAAAGGCCAATGGTTGAAATTAGCTTGACTCGATATTATAAATGAAAATATGTGAGTTTATGTGTATGTTTGTTACTCAGTCATATTAAAACGACTGAAGGGACCGGAATGAAATTCGGAACAGAGGTAGATTATGGTCTGAAGTGATACATAGGCATTTTACCCCTGGGATCGCGGGCGAAGCCGCTGGCAGAAGCTAGTGTTCAATAAAAATAAGGTTTAAAAAATGAAACAAAATAATTGCATTGTTAAAAGTATTTTTATTCATTCATCATTTAGAAGATATTATTATTCATATTTAGTATAGATCACGACAGTTATAATAAAGAATAAAGTAAGTGTATTTTTCATTTAAGAACTCTCTGTTTTAATACAAAGTCTTGATACACTTTATGCGATTATAGGAGACGCCATGCCCTGATTCATCACACCACAAGAGTGATAATTGTCCCCACGAGGGAACCTGATGTAACCATTTTCACCAAAAGTTGTATCCCATGAGTTCTTCGCAATCCAGTATGGTTGTCCATTTTCTGCAAAAAACTACAGTTAACCAAATTTTCCAAATTGTTTGACTCCGTATTTAATAACTACCATAGTATCGAAGAAGTTCAATGTATTGCTAGATGTGGTAAAGAACAGCGTTGCACTATTAGGTATAATTACACAAATTTAAGGTACGTACACGTACACACACTATAACAAAGTGTTCAAAACAGCCACAAAAAAGTAAAAGCTTTTTAAAAATCAGTTCAGCATTTTTGGTCATGCAAACTAAACGTGTTTACAAAATATCAGCTCAATAATTAGTTGATATATGCTTCAAAATTTAGTTTTAAGATTCCACTTCACACAGATACATACATCATATAACCATATATCCACACATACATATATGTACATACATACATTTTAACTTAAGTAAAAGCTCTTAAAAAGATGGAGCAAAATTTATTAAGTGCATATTATGTGCCGCTCCTATGACCCACATGAAACAGTTTTTTTTCTGAATGAACTAAAAATTACGAGTTACTCGCGTAAATATATTGGGAAAATCTCTACTAGTTTCGAGTTACAGAGGGACTCTTATTCATAAGCAGCGTGCGCAGTCGCGGCAATGTCGCGCAGCCTACTCATCACCGCAACCGATGCTTCGGCTTCGGCTTCGGCTTCGGCCACCTTCGGCCAAAAAGCCCACCTTCGGCAAAACATTCGGCTTCGGCCCAAAGCCCGGCCGAAGCCGAAGGTTTCGCCGAAGGTCCGAGCGACTGCCGAGATTAAACGAACGATTGAACGAACTGTTACGAATGTCATGAGGCGGCGGGGAGTCACTGTCAAAATATCACATTGCATGCATTTTTTCAATTATTCATAATAAAGAAATGATTACTTTTACCAGTAGGTAAATCACAAACTTTTATTAATCTCTAAACCAACCATCTCTTTGATATATCATAAACTTCTTTATAAGACAGTCAATATAAACCTTCAATAATGAGGTTTTGAAATAATTTTAATATTAATTGTAGCTTGTAGACAATATTGAACAAAATAATTGACTGAGTGCTGAGAAAATATAAACCTTCTACCTAAAATATAACTACTTATTTCATATAGTGTTCATATTATCAAGTTCCAATGTCATTGCTTACCTGTTCCATACCCGACTAGGAGAATAGCATGGTTAACTTCGCCCTCATTGCATAAGTTATCTTCCATTATACCGCCCTTATATGTTAGGAAGCCTTCAGCTTGCACAGCTATAAAAAAGGGAACTCATGAGAGGAACTGGTATAAGGAAGGAAACAATTTGTTCAGTTGTGTTTTACGAATGGGCCGGCTCGACCGGAGTGATACCACGGCCTCACAGAAAATCGACGTGAAGCAACGCTTGCGTTGTGTTTCGTCGTGTGAGTGTGGTTACCGGAGGCTCAATTACCCTCCCCTTCCCCAATCTCCCCAATTTCTGAATCGCCAACGATCCTCAAACTCCTAATCCCCAAAAGGCCGGTAACGTACTTGCAACGCCTCTGGTGTTCCAGGTGTCCATGGGCGACGCCAATTTCTTAGCATCAGGTGATTCGTCTGCTCGTTTACCGGCTTATGCCATAAAAAAAATGTTGTATTTCATAGGAGATAATGCAAAACGGTGGGTATTTAAAAATTTTATAGAAAGCCTCCAACTTGCTTTGTGGTAAGCGACAATGTGGCTTATGATGATACAGCCTGTATAAAAGCAACCTGTAATCACTCGGAACCTAAAATATACTCTTCTCTTTGCTTTACCGTTTATCTGGTGGTACCTTAAAGAGAATTGTGATACTAAGCAGCCTTTATGTAAAGAGCTTGCTACTGAGCGTGACCAGAGTCGTAGAAAGATATAAAAATCGATAAATTTATTGTTCGAGTTCTACTTACATAATAGGGGCATATTGAGACCGTGCTTAATTCTAAATAACTGTACTAATGTGTTTTGAGTTTGTGGTCAGTAACAAACTAACACAAAACTTAATTCACATAATTTACCAATAGATATCGGTCCAACGGTGGCTACTAATTCCTTTAGCCGTTCTTGTGAACTAAGATGGTAGTTAGTACAGCCAGTCAGTCTGACAGCTGCCTTGCCAGCTTGGAATTGGCAAGACTGTTCTTTACCAATATAAGGATAGTCAGATTCTGTCTCCAAGCCGCCTGCGTTGATCATGGCACTACAAAATGAATGTTTTGTCGTCAATAATATGATTTATACATAAATACTCGATGTTTGTGGTATTAAATAAATCCTCGATAGTTGAAATTGAAGCACATACAATAGATTGTTACAAGTCAAAAAATAATTTGTACCGTAATGCCATAGAATTTCACATTTACAATAATCATGTAGAAAGGAATAGTTACCTGAATGCAGATGTCATTAGACCACCACCACATCCGAGGGATTCTTTATCACAATCCACTGTTTGTTGTTCAGAAAATTCTATCAACTGACCATGTTTGATGGCATATTGGCCTTCAACGGCTCCTGTAACAATTTAAAATCATCATTGATTCTACTGAAAGGAAGACAAATGATATTTTGGTGCTGGTTGTCATCAACAAAATGTCACGACTAAGGTTCTGCATTGAGAAGTATGTACGTCATTCTTACCGGCTGCACTGAATGCATAACAGCTCCCACACTGAAGCTGGTTCTTAACCCTAGTGACTGCATTCTGTAGACGCCAATCAAACGACTCTGGCACATTCACATTAGGGAGCTGCACATCAGTCACTATATTACATTTTCCAGTGAAATTTAAACCTGCATTTAGTCCAGTGTGGAGGCTGAGGAATTCTTCCATAGTGAGATCCATGAAACGGGTAATACCTGAAATTGTTATACCCTTTAATAACATACGTCATTATTTTGTTAATAATAATATGATAAAGGAGTTATTGAATGATTATGTACCAAACGTTGTATGTTCGGTTTGCTTATTCAAAGCGTTAGCTCTTTCCAAGTTGTCTTTGAAGACTTCAAACTTGGCTTGCTTCTCTTCCTCGCTCGCGTATTGTTTGTTGTGGTCTTGTATGAAGCGCTCGAAGTGATACTCAGCGTCTTCGGTGTGGAACAGTGGCATCTTCGCTGCCTGCGCACAGGCCGCTAAACAAACACAGAAAACAATCACAGAGGGAGACATTGTCGCAAAGTGGCACACTTCTGTTTCTCGAAAGTGAGGCGTTTTGTATGTATTTGTAATATTATGAAGTATTTGATAAATGTAAATTATTTGCAATATTTACGTTATTTTTACTGAATATTTGTAATTTCTATTTTTATGATTTTGTAGATATTTTCCTATCGAATTCCATTCCATAAACATTATGTACCTGAAAATTTCCATTAAGTTGTTTGTCCATACATTTAGAGATAATATAATGTTATTGAAAATGTATGAAGGAGGATTACCGAGGCTCAAATTCCCATTTCCCTAACTCTCCTTATAAAAAAAATTTGCAAAAGGAAGTCGAATCTTCTACAGCAGTGGGGTTGAGGACATGTTCCTCAGTACTGAGTCCCTTTGACTGGTGACTCTATCAACTTGTCATTATGACATCTCAATTGGGCAGAATAGGCATTCCGATAGCCGTGGGCACCGGACAGCTATATCTCGCCATTAACATAGCCGCTTGGGCACAAACACTCGAACTGTCGAGGCACATCGCAGACTCGGCTGCGTCAATATCCACAATAGCTTTCCTTCACAGCATATTGCTTCATCATCAGGGGTGGAATTAGAACAGCTCCACCCCTGCACACTGTTTCACTGTGTAGAAACGGACTCCCCATGAATGGCGCGCGCAATAACGCGCCGGTGCTAAACGGCACGAAAATTTTAATAGCGGGATACAGGACGTTTGTTTACAGGCTGCATTGTTAGCGCAGCGCACCGACTGCTGTGCAACGTGTCGCAGGTTCGATTCCCGCCCGAACAGCTTTTTGTGTGATCCATAGTTTGTTGTTCCGGGTTTAGGTGTCATGTATGTGAATTTATATAATTATGTGTTTTTAAAAAAGATTAATACATCTACGGTCTGCTCGAATTATTAACAAATATATTATGCAAGTATTTTTCCTCTAATTGAAATATGTTTTAGACTCGTTTGTTTTTTTATGGTTCTTTGCCATTTGTCCGATGGTGGGATAGGGAAACCGACAACCAATTTATAAGTTTTCCAAAAATGTCTTATTTTTTTCAGAACGGAGAATTGTGCCCGATAGCAATACGCTCACCAATTATAATTGGTGAGATATGCACCAATGTGTACTTGCATAATATATTTGTTAATAATACGCGTAGATTAATATTTTTTTAAAACACATTATAATTTCCACCTGTATCGTGGGTGCGTTTACAAACATACAAATTCACATACATGACACCTAAACCCGGAACAACAAACTATGGATCACACAAAAAGCTGTTCGGGCGGGAATCGAACCTGCGTCACGTTGCACAGCAGTCGGTGCGCTGCGCTAACAATGCAGCCAGTAAACAAACGTCCTGTATCCCGCTATTAAAGTTTTCGTGCCGTTTAGCACCGGTGCGTTATTGCGCGCGCCATTCATGGGGAGTCCGTTTCTACACAGTGAAACAGTGTTCAGGGGTGGAGCTGTTCTAATTCCACCCCTGGTGATGAAGCAATATGCTGTGAAGGAAAGCTATTGTGGATATTGACGCAGCCGAGTCTGCGATGTGCCTCGACAGTTCGAGTGTTTGTGCCCAAGCGGCTATGTTAATGGCGAGATATAGCTGTCCGGTGCCCACGGCTATCGGAATGCCTATTCTGCCCAATTGAGATGTCATAATGACAAGTTGATAGAGTCACCAGTCAAAGGGACTCAGTACTGAGGAACATGCCCTCAACCCCACTGCTGTAGAAGATTCGACTTCCTTTTGCTTAATTTTTTATTACGAGAGTTTGGGAAATGGGAAATTAAGCCTCCGTAATCCGTGGAACTGTATTGAATGTAATAATTATTACATGGGATGAATGAGGCGTTTTTACAACTCCACCACACAATGATAAAAGATTGAATTTTATATTGTAATTATTATTTTTACCCAATTAAAGCAACATCACAAACAGACAAACATACTATTTGTCGTAGAAATAAAAAAAGTAATTAATTACTTAATGTTAAGAACTTACCCAATTTTTGATAAGCATTGCATTTTTGTCACTGCACAAATAGCTATTAATTTTAGTCTGAATTATAAAAGTAAAACATTTTGCTGTCGTTTTTCTTGGCGTAAAAATGCTAGCTTTATTTCTGGTCTGTATTTTCTTTGGTGTAGACTTCTCGTCTACCGCCATTACTCCATACTCTCTAGATAATGTGGACCAGCACTTCAATGACTTTGTCGTGAAATATAATAAAATATACGCTGACGAAGAAGAAAGATTAAATCGATCTCAAATATTCGCTGAGAACTTAAAGACGATTATTGAATTGAATGCAAGGAGAGAATCACATCTTTACGGTAATAATATTCATAATTACTTTTTATGCAGTAGCCAGCAGATGAATTTACTCCAAACTGTTTTTATTCATTGGATTTTTAATTTTATATCAATACAATAAAGTTGGAGATGTAATAAAGAAAGACAGAAAAAATAGATTGACCTGCAGACTACCGTACTTGTTTCAATTTCACCGTAAATCTGTAATGTGTTTGATATTATCTTCTAGAGTTTTGTAACTAGGTACTCAGAAGATTTGAGTAAATGATTCCATAGTTTCATTCCACCTCATGGAAGCCTATCCCGACTGTGACCTATTCATAGACGAGCTTAAAGCTACTAAAAATGTTTGTCTCAGTTTTTGTGAAAGTCTTTTAAGTGTATAATTAAATGTTTTGATTTTATTTTATTGTGATGTAGGTACATTTTTATTTGTCATTTACTATTGTAACTGTCTGATTTTTTGTTTATGTTTTTTTATTGAATTTTTTAATGTGATGTTCAATTATGTGCTTTTTCTGTTTTTGTGACTTGATTCTCTTTGATTTCTCTTCGTGTGTGTGTCAATGTAATTGGTGTAAGGCCGTGTTAACATCACAACAATAATAAATAAATTTCGTTTGATAAGATTAAAATATGATATCATTTATATGTGATATCATGGCTTCAAAGAAAATGGGCGTGACTGAGGTTACCGAAGGCTAAATAGAAGATTTGTAAAAAGATTCTGCACTTTACGAGTTTTTTTTTAAGGGGGAAAATCATCAAATTACTGCTCCCGCCTGGGTGAGGCGGGAGGGAGTGTAAGACCCCTACTGACTAAAAACCACCCCGTCCCTTCCACTTCTCCTGCACTTCGAGCCGGAGACCCGGTAACCCGTTAGGTTCTCCGCGACGCACTTTACGGGTGGCATCGATTGGTTACCATGAAAATAAAGATTCAAATTCTTCATATTTTTAGATGTAACACACTTTATGGACCTCACGCAAGAAGAGTTCACCATGAGGTACACTGGTTTGAGCGAAGTCTTTCTCACAAATGACTGCCCCTACTTACACGATGAGGACATTGAAGACGTCGATGCTCCTGAGTCATTCGACTGGCGTGATCATAATGCTGTGACTCCAGTTAAAGACCAATATGATTGTTCAAGTTGTTATGCCTTCAGTGCGATTGGTGGGTCAAATTTGACTTATTTTGATCATTATATTCTCAAACTAACAATATTGTAGGGATATAATGGTGTACCTACACATTTTTGTCATAGTTCAAAATTCTTTTGTTGTTTACACTTTATTTAGTTTATTGCCTCGTTGGCCGAGTGGTCGCAAGTGCGACTGTCGGGCAAGGGGTATCGGGTTCGATTCCCGTGTCGGGCAAAGTATTACTGGGTTTTTAAAAAAAAATCTCAGTAGTAGCACAGAGTCTGGAATTGTGGCCGGTATATGGCAATAGGCTCACCCCCTATTGCATGGGACTCATATCATAAATAGTGAAAATTGGGTGTTACATTGTACAGTGGCATAATGTGCACCTCTGCCTACCCCTTCGGGGATAAAAGACTTGATATTATATATATTTATTTAGTTCTTTCGTCTGATTCAATTAGGTAAATGATTTGATCTTTACTTCATTATAGGCAATACAGGATAATTTATTGATATGGAATATTTCTGTTTTAGCAAACATAGAAAGTCAGGTAGCCATCAAGTATAATATGCAGGTTGATTTATCAGAACAGCAGATAGTTGACTGTAACAGAAGAACTCTAGGTTGTAAGGAAGGACTTATGGCACCGACTTTCAGGTAAGTGAATTTTATATGGGATAAGCGTGTAAACGTGTTGACTGATTTACTGATGGTAAGCAATACCAGAGGCGTTACAAGTGCATTACTGGCCTATTGGGGATTAGGAATTGGGGAGATTGAGGAGGGGGGTAATTGGGCCTTCGGTAGCCTCACTCACATGATGAAACACAACGCAGCAACGCTTCGGTTTTATAAGAGCCAGTGGTACACTCAAGTCAAGCCGGCTCATTAGTGCGGAATCATAGCTTTACCACACCTAAAATTATTTATTAAATTAGTAACAAACAGTAAAATCAAAACATTATTAAATATTTTTTGGGTACAATGCCTAACCTGGCTTCTATCCAGCTTAAGGGGTTTAACCCCTCGAGCGTCCTTATGAGCACCCGGTGTATCATAAGAAAAAATGCTCCATGCTGCTTTCTCTTTTATAAAATCTATTATTAATGTTTTGTTTTTATTTTGACTGTATTTGTTTTATTTCTATTGGAATGATCCTTGTTTTCGTGTGCCAATGGCCAAATAAATGCATTTTCTTTGCATAAGGATAAGGAAATGCATAAGGAACGCGGACGCTCGACGGGTTAAATTTCAATTGCCGAATCAACGAAGTGCTTTTGAAATCATAAGTTTTTGAAAATTGACAGTCTCAGAGCATAGAATTGCAGGCACAGCAAGCAAAATGATTAACGAGTATGATATTATGATGACAGGTATCTGATGGAAGCTGGCGGAGCTGTTAGCGAACCAGACTACCCCTACTTTGGTTATCAAAGTCAATGTTACTTCAATCGTTCGTGGCCGCTACTTAACATCTACCCTCGGTGGCCGCCAGTCCGAGTGATCAGCTGTTATTCGTTACGTCTTACCTCGCAAGAGAAGGTGAAACAATTGCTATACAAGTACGGACCTATATCTATCGGTAAGGCCGTAATTCTAATAAATTTATTTAATTATTGGGTTATCAGCCTCAATAATCTAATTATTTTCTACTAGCTTTTACCCGCGGCTTCGCTCGCGTCACAAAAGGAAAAAAAGTAGCCTGTGACATATACCAATACACACAGCGCCATCTATACCAATACTTTTGTTTTCCTCGGGAATTTCCGGGATAAAAAGTACCCTATTATTTAATCCGGACTTCTAATTTTACGTCTGCAGAAATTCAAAGCAATCGATTTAGTAGTTACGGCGTGAAAGCGGAACAAACAAACAAACTCACTTTCCGATTTATAATATTAGTAAGGATAGGTGTGGTATATATAGGGCGGTTTGATAAGTTCGTGAATTTTTGAATAAAGCATTTTTTGCGGCAATTAAACATTTTTTTTTCTACATAATCACTTTTTAGCTCGATACATTTAGTCCAACGTTTTTCTAATTTTTTTATTCCCTCCAAATAATATGTTTTCTGAAAACATTCAAAATACGCGTTTGTTTCGGTAATGACTTCTTCATTAGACTCTAATCTCTAACCACCCAGCCATTTCTTTAGGTTTTGGGGGGGGGGGAATCATCGAATGACTACGGCCTGCTACTACTGATTACTAATCGCCTGGGTAAGGCCATGGGGTGAGTGTCAGACTCTTACTGACTAAAAACCACCCCGTTCCTTCTCCTGCACGTCGAGCCGGAGCCCCGGTAACCCGTTAGGTTCTCCGCGACTCCGAATCGGCATCGGTCCTGTTGGGCCCCTATTTGTTTAGGTTTGGAAACAGATAATAGTAGCCGGGGGCTAAATCTGGACAATATGTACTGTTGGATTTGGAATAACTGCGCAGAAAATTAAAAGAATCACTGACTAATCAAACCGGTCCTAAATTACTTAGGGCCGATTTTTCAATCATCAGTTAATTCATAACTGTAGAATAAAATTGACATTTGACAGTTTTTAGTATGGAAGAATTGTCAAATATTCTTTAGTTAAAATTTATCTGGCATTGGATAAATCGGCCCCTAACTACCTATCCTACTTATAATAATATAACTGTGAAAGTTTGTGAGGATGTGTGTGTGTGTGTGTTTGTTTGTTTGTTTGTTACTCTTTCACGTCAAAACGGCTGAAGGGATTAAAATGAAATTTGGATTATGACCTGGAATAGCACATATGCCACTTTTTATCCCACGGTAAAGCGGGAGAAGCCGCTGACATAAGCTAGTCACCACATAGTATAAAACAAAGTCGCTATCTGCCGTCTGTCTGCCCCTTAGATCTTTAAAACTACGCAACGAATTTTGACGCGTTTTTTTAATAGATAGAGTGATTATTAAGGAAGGTTTATATGTATAATACATGCATATTGCATCCGTGCGAAGCCGGGACGGGTCGCTAGTATTTGATAAATTAAAACTTAAAATTTTAGATGAACAGAATTTGGAAACATTTTCTTTTCACGTGTTTAAACAACCCTATTGATGTTTTTATAATAACTATAGTAAAACATACTAAATTAAGTAAAAACGCGGGGGACTCACGTGAATATACTGAGAAAAGCTCTACTAGTTTCGAATCAGAGAGGGTTTCTTCCTCATGAGCAGCGTGCGCGGTCGCGGCGTTCGAAACTAGTAGAGCTTTTCTCGGTATATTCACGTAAGTAACCTGCGTTTTTACTTAACCCTATTAATACTGTTATTTGCTGATGCAGCACGATAGTGTATTATGGTTAGAATTTATACTGGTTCGTTATAACTAGAAGGTTCTTTGTGTGATTCCAGCAATTCAAGCAGACGAATTCCGGTATATGGGACGTGTTGGCATAATTACTGATCAGTTTTGTACTGGGCCACTAAACCATGCTGTACTTCTCGTTGGTTATGGAACTGGTACGTACTCATTTGATATGTATTCTTGGGCTCCTTCGCACGAGACTTATGCGACTTCGTGACATACTCCACGCCTGAATCACTGTTTTCCAAAATACAAGCTTATAGCTTAGTTTGGAGGGCAATGTCAGTATCGATCGTAATTTACACTTGCTCATGTAATTGCCGCATTTCTGTGAATGTAATATTGTGAAATTTTTAACAATAAACTATTTTTAAACTCGGTCTCGAAAATGTTTAATGATATGTTGCGTCTGAGTAAAAATTTTATTATTTATTTATTTATCATTTCATGTACCCACACCATACAGACAATATTACAAGACACAACACATTATAAGCATGAGGTACATAGGTACTGCATATCCCTTAAGGGATTTCTTCCTGCAGACCTGCGACAGGAAAAGGAATATAAACATAAGACATAAGACACAGTGTAAATACATGCAACGAATACAAAACAAAATATATTATTATGAAATTACTATTATAATGAATAAATAAATAAAATAAATAATATTATAATGAAATAAAATGATGAAATGATATTTATTTCTATGTATAGGTTACATAGTAACTCTTTTACACGTCAATCTTTAAGTTACTAGATGACAGTCGTCATTTCTTAACTGACTACTCTGAGTAGAAACGCCGAAACAAACTCAGAGGTCATTGTCTCTTAATCTACCTCTATAAATTGGTTTATTCTCTTCTATGAATATGTGCATTGTAAGATTGAATGGAACCTCGCTTAAGTCTGAATATCAGGCGGCCTCAAGCATTAAACTAATTATTATATTATAATTAGTTTCTAATAAATTAATTTTTGGTAAACTGTTAAAATTAAAAAGCGAGCTTTTGCCTCCTGGCTCGCTCAAGCCTTTTACGATGTTTTGTTTTTCCAGAGAATGGCATGCCATATTGGATTGTGAAAAATTCATGGGGTTCTGGTTGGCACGACCAGGGTTACTTCAAGATGCAGCGCGGAGAGCATGCAGAGTCATGTGGCATGATGAATGCTGGGATGGCGATAGCCTACATCGCATGATTTTTATGTCAATCGACAGTTGCCACTACTACTTGTTGTTCTTTTAAACACCGTTTGGGTGATTTTGTAAAATATCGTGAATGTAACAAAATTGTCTATAACTAATAATCTAAATTGAATTTGAAAAGTTAAAAAATAAAAGTTTTAGAAGTTTTTTGGATTTTTTTTTTCGTTTTTACTCCGTACTCCTCCAAAAATCGACGGTTAGCGGAAGAAATGTGGCATTTAAAAGGTCTATATTACAATTTGTCACTTAATTCTAATTACAAACAGAAAATCTAATTGGAACGTTCACCAAATAGATCTAATTTTAATATGAGTATCATGGAACAGCTACTGTTCAAAAGCTGTGTTCTCACAAGCGAAAAATTGTCCACAGCGGGTACCAACTAATCCGGGTTTCAATAGCCACATTGTGTTCCCATCGTGTGTAACGCACTTTATTGTGGCTTTAACCAATTAATTTTGTCACTCGACTAGATGATCACGGTTGGGTAATTTTGAATGACGTCACACAAAATGGTAGTGTATATTGGATGCGGATAAGCTTGTCGTCGATGTCGGCTTTGTTAGTTTTTATTTAAATCCTGGAAATTCATTTAAATTTGATTTGATTTAAATTTATGATTGTGAAAGAAAGAAAGCTTTTTCCACTAATTTGATAGTAACTTTCTTGAAATGAATATTTTGACGGTATACCTAACTTTAAAAGTTGAGAATGTCTGGATTAACTAAGCAATTTTAGTAGGCACAATAAGTGGTCATTTTTAGAAAGTAAATCTATGATAATTTACGTACCTATGCGTAAAATACACTACAATAAAATTTATTTATTAAATCCCTGTTTCCAGTCAATTCACAGTATTCCATCATGCTCCTTTAAACACATCGGTAACTCAAAGTGAAACTATAAAAAAATCATCCCAGACGAACTTCCTTAATCCGACTTTGAATACAATACAAGTTTACACTTCAACGTACACAAATGTATAAAGGTTTACAATGAAAAAACTATTACAGATGATGTTAATGAAACTTTAGATAACAATGAGGATAAGCCTGGTGCCGCTATGTCTGATGCTGCAGACAAACGAATGGAAGCCGATGATGTTTTGAGTGAAACTGCAACTGAGTTGAACGTGCTCCAAAATGGCATTCTCCGAAAAGCAACGCTTGAAAAGAGATTTCATGTTAATGAAAGTAACTGTATATCTTTTAGAAGTCATTGATAATGTATTACTGTATGCAAAAGCAGTTAGTTATATGAATACGTCCTTGTGGATTTGTAAGCGTTTCTCAATGAATTGTTAACTACTCTAAAAGGCAAAATGAAATATGAATTCAATGAAATTGGAAATGAAATTGAAATTATCGTCTACAAATTAATAATAGAGTGTGTCAATAGGTAAATATAAATAAATACCTATAAAGTATTTTGCAAAATTGCAAATGGATGTTAAACGAGACGAATATGTACAAAGTGGGAATACTAAAATGGAAACAGTTCCTTGTTTACTAGTCCCACGGCTGCAGTCTACACAAAATCAGACGATATTCGAGATTAGATCTCAAACAGAGATAGTCTCATCCAAATACAAGTTTCAATGAATGAGTCTACAAACGACTGGACAATACCAGGATTACAGGAACGTAACACTTAGACTCAGGACAGACATGAATGAAACTGAATGCAAGGAGATGAATGAACCGCGGAACGGTCTCATGTATTGTCACAAATTAAATCCGCAATTGTAAATATTTGTGAATGAAATTCAGATAAGGGACGTTCTAACAAAATCTCCAGTGGCTCAAATATACCGCTTACTATGGAGAGGAAGGCTTAAATAACTTCAGGTTTAAATAAATAGAATAAGTAGTTCCTTTTTATTTTTCGGACTACTGCGGTAGCTCTAAGGCTAGAAATGAAAGAATACCGGTAACCAGCTGTTTACTGATAATGTCTATGAATGGCCAGTTAACTTGCTAAAATGATTTCTTTATCTATTTTTTTTATCATTTTACGAGACAGATATTTTAAAGTTTGGCAGTATGTAAATACGCTTCTACGTATGTATCAATCGCTTGTTTTAGTTTAAAATATAATCAGGTATATGTTCATAACAGAAAAAAACTTATGTTAATTAACATTTTACAGACATACTGACATACATACATATATGTTAATTAAGTTAGCGAGATTGTTGGTTCGTAAAAATTCTTTCAATTTCTTTCCTGTTTGTTTGCAAAGAAGCCTAGTAAAACGAAGTAAGACCACAAAAAACGCCACAGTCAAGTAAAAAACGTAAATTTTAAGATTAACTTCAGAAAGAAAAACTTGTCGCTGAAAATATAAATTTGAATGAAAAGAAAATTCTGAAGTTTTAGGACAATGTGTGTTTTCCCTTAGTTACAAAACTTTGTTTCAGTTTAAAAATGGCTTTCCTTGCTATTGTTTCACAGTACATAGAAAACATGTTCCTAAACAATTTCATCGGTGTAATATTTACAACTAAAAACTTAAAAATTTTAGTCTCCGTATTACAGAAAGCTCTTTTAGATTTTAAATATCTCAATTTTACCTTAGCTCGTGTTGTATGTATACAACTGTAACTATAAACTGGGTCTAGAACCCTTTTTAGAATTGAGAAGAACACTAAATGTAATTGGAGGAGAGTATTTTATTTGGTCCTTTTGATTTTCATAATAGCAAAGAATAATAATAGTAATAATTGCAACGAATCGACTGCCCGAGGAATTCCAAATACTTCTTAGACTTAACAGAAGCCTTTGACACTCACACACTTTGTATTGAGACATCTGTCAAGTACCTATGCAACTAATTTCAAAGGATCACCACATTGTGTGGACACAAACATTTAATTCGACCACTTAACTTCCGGCAGAGGACGCAATTGTGCAATCAGTGGAAATATTGACCGGAAAATGATTATGACGCGACGGGAAGCAAAGTGACAAATTTTATTCTAAAGATGGTTACATATAACAATAGAAAATGAGAGTAACAATTACAAATGTAACAAAGTGATGAAATTGAATAAAGGTGATGCAAAGACATTGTATGAGGTGTATGGTGTTGTATGGGCCCGGATGTGTCGTGCAGGGATAGTGTTTGTGTGCACCGGTGATGTATGAATGCATGTGGGGACAGGGTCGAATTGCAATAAATTGTTTGCGTGGGTGGATAGGGAAAGATATTGAGACGGTTGCCGAGTAAAATTATTTCGATTCTGTATGTCGCATTTGAGCTCAACTAAGTTCATAGTAAAAGTATCAAAAATTGATATTCTATATTAATTTTGGAACGTTTCTTCTCTTATCCAGGAACACAGTAAAAAACACGCACTACGAGCATCAAGGAAATATTTTTGCTTTTTTTTTACGTCAAAACTATATTAAACAAATAAATAGGTATATATTACCGATGTTGTGATGCTGCTGTGTGATGCTTAAGCATGTAAAGTATAACAAGTGATATAATATTATGCAGGAAATAATGAGACTAACGAATAATGTATTAATTAAAAAATGGTGCATAGGCGACTCTATTGCGATCTTGCTTCTAGAAATCGCGGAAGACGTTTATAATTTAGTAATATTAAAATGTTTCTCATTGATCGCATTCAATAGATCACGAACAATGCGACAATGGGTGTAGGTAACAATGACAACTATAGCAAACACGCGATGGATACGACACCGTCACAAAAATGTCGCAAAAGACCACGATGTGAGAAATAAAATTAATATTTATGTAGTAAACTTAAAAGTCGAAAATGGATTGATTTTTGGATATGACATTGATCTGTATGGTACTGAATGTGTTTCTATTGTTGGTAAAAGTGGTATTGTTGCGAATAAAGAGTGGCTAAAGATGGCCATTGTGTCCCATTGTGGCGGGTGTGCGCACACAATGACTTGATCACGTTCAGAATTTTTGGACAATTTCTGACTGTTTTTGCAACGGGTTGCACCTTGGAGAACAGTGATGGATTTAGAATTTTTTATATTGATATTTTTACGCTCTTGAATATATTGATGAAATAAATAATTAGAAATGCGGTATTAATTGAAGGTACTGTAGATACATGTTTAATAACTTATCATTGAATCGTTTTTCTTTTTACAATTATAATGATTTGACACGTTTAGGCAATAAATTATACATAATATGTCTTATGTCACTTAGATATGGATTATTGACATTTTATTAACATACACAATAGATAATGAGTGCCCTGAAAATCAATGCTAGGTGACTTGTATGCCTGGCTTACATTGAGTGGGTGACCCTTTTAGCATAGGCATGACAGCGTCTCTCTTCTAATTCTTCTGTTTTAATTTATCAACTCAATGTTTTTATTACTTGCACTGTCACACCTTTATTGTCTTTTTTATATTTTATTTATGTTGCATCGTGCCTGGTACTGAATAAATGTTTTTTCTTTCTTTTTTAATTAGTTGCTTTCAAGTCACCTTAGTTATGAATTAAATGTTAATAACTCAAAGTTATTGTTCCGAGTTTCGGTGTAAAGTGAAACTGTGTATTTTTTAACGTATCTAAAACATAGAAGAAAATGCCTGTCTGAGACTACAATTTATTAAAAGACAACACTTGTACAATTAGGTAAACAGAAACAGAACTTTACAATAATTACTATGCTATGATATGCTGTACTTAAATAAAAACGATCTATGTACCAAACCTCTTTAACTGAAATTACATCTTCCATTTAAAGTCCCTAAATCCGTCCCTGTACAAATTAGTGCCAGTTACGGGGTGGTATATTTTTCCGAAACTACTTGTCGTATCACAATGTGCTCTTTCATGCGCATCAGCCATGCACCCGCCGAGCCAAACGGGGGCAGAGATGCGCAAAATATGGGCTCAACGTGGCTCGATGGACCCAATTGTCGGACATTAGCTTTACAAAAGGTACAAAAAATTCAAATCGCCACCACTCACTAGTTATATATTTTTCGAGAAATCAATTGTTAGAATTTATGAAAGAAATTTTGCTATCAATGAAACGTTTCTCTTTATGTTCGCTAGTACTTTGCATAGTTGATTTATTTCGATTTTCGATTGTCGTTCAGATACCTACTTTAGCTGTTTTCTGATTTCAGAATAAATT